CCCAAATGGATAAATCCAACTTCATTCTCCAACACAACTTTATGAAAAATGAAAAGGAGAACCCAATACTTACAAAAGACATGACACACGAAACTCATTTTTGTGGGCCGACCCGTATCCGACCCGGAACCCGCAGCGGGCGGGCTTTTTTTCACGCGGGCCGTTACCGGGCTCACATGTTGGCGGGCCGACCCGGCCCGGACCACCCGGATTGACACCTCTACCAAAAAATAACATGAATTTTGATAAAATCGCCTTATCACCTTCATCACTCTATCGGGCTAGAAGTACATAAACATTAGGGGTGTAAATGGTCCGGTTCAATCATTTTTTTTAATACAAATTATCAAATCAAACCGGCATATTGGGAATTAGAGAAAATAATTTAGAATAAAAAAGAATAAACTGTAATTTTGTGACTAAAAGATAAACTCAAGTAATTTCCATAAAATAAAAATTGTCACTTTTAAGAAATTTAATCGAATATTTAATTGATGGTTTAATTTGGGCATTGGCCCAAGCCCAATGATGGTCATGCCCATTATGTTGTGGCCTATCTTATTCAGAAATAAGCTGAGCGTGTAAAGCCCAAATCCAGTAACCTTTTCTCTTCTTTGTTTTCTTTTCTTTTTTAATTTAAATTGAAAAGGTACTAAATAATCAAATATTTCAATAATGAAAAATATTAGTATTAGAATATCTAATTCGAAAAATGCTAGAGGTACATTACCAATGACATAATGGTTTACATAATGTAGATGTGGCAGTCATCTACTTATTGATGTGTAAGTATGAAATTTGAATTAAATGTTGGATCAGCTGCCACGTGTTATTATGTGAACTTTTGTGTGAATGATGATGTACCCCTAGCATTACTCATCTAATTCACAGGAGCAATGAAATTCAAACATAACCAATTACTTAATTGATACAAATAGACCAAAGTTAATTTGGCATGGTATAATTTCAATTTTTTTTTTTTGATAGAGTTGATATTTGGGACAAATGCAGCATGGATTGTCAACTTATTATTCGAGCAGCAAGTATTTAATAATTGTTACAAAATTATTCCACAAGAAAAGAAAATGTCTAAATTCCAACTAGAAGGTCATATGATTCTCATAGAAACACCCCAACTTTGAATTTACGGGCATCGACCCACGGTGAAAAACAAAAGGACGAAAAGGGGACTCCTTCGTGGCTTGCAAGCTCTAAAAAGTTGGACTAAAATGGAAATTTTGAAGGGAGTCAATTTAAGCGCTTAATAATCCAATATATATAGTAGGCTTACGCCAAGACATTAGTGGGATAGGTGTAGATGAATAATCCCCCATCTAGAAACGTATATGAAGTTTTCTCCTCGTATGGCCAGAGAAAAATGTTGACTCTGCCGCAAAAGGAGGCCTATTTCTTCCCCCAAAAAATGCCCGTTCCACCATCAGGCCCCGCGAGTTGGGACATGGGGAATTCTATTCTGAAGATGCGCTAGCTTTATAAAGTTTGAGCCACGATTAAGGTTAGCTGGCGATATGATCATATTTGGTCGATTTCCATAGTCTAGGACCATTAGTGCTACTATAATGAAATTATGAATTGGGAAACAACTTGCTACTCGAACAATAGCTAAACGATCAACAATTCAATTTTCCTTTGAAGGTTTGATATATATAGTGCCTCATAAATTGATTCATGTGGCAAATGTTAAGTGTCGACAAAAAAACATTATTATTATGTTTCGTCTTAGTATGTATTGAAAAGAAAAATGTAGTATGTATTCATTATATATTCAAAAACCAATACCAAATGTTAACTGGACGTGTTAGAGATTGTTAAGAACAACAGGATACTAACTTTATGTAAATTTCAACAATGGGAATCAAATGTACACAAAATTGAGAATGTAACATATTCCTGCCTTTTTCTTTATTTCTGTTTCTCGTTTAAGAATAAAGAAGCAATCAAAATTTCTGATAATTGTAAAGAGATTTTTGGAACATTTTAATATTAAAATTATAGTAATTTGTGAAGTATTATAAGTTAAGAAGGTTGTAGAAACATTAAGCTCATGTTTGGTGTAGCTTAAAAATGTGATAAAAATTTAAGTTAAAGTTAAAAATTAATTTTAACAAATTTCATGAACCTCATAATTTTTATCAACTTTTCAACCACGCATCTCATCAACTTTTCTTTATCACCAAACGTGGACCGAAAGTTTATCTAGTTCGGCAACATGGAAATATGGACGAGTCACTAGATATTTTATGGATGAGATACAAACATACATTTGCAACAACGTACATGACGAGGAACAAACAATATATATGACTAACCGTCCATCGACCAGAAGCATGAAGAGGGCATACGAGATTTAACATTATCTTCTCTTAGGTCTCAGGATCTTTGCTACATAAGTTTGGATTGTTAGATGTTCATTGATTAGAGGATTGGAGGGAATCATAGTTTTGCACAAAATCTTAATAAATATTTTGGCAGGAAAAGGAAAAAGAAAAAACATGTGAAATTACTGTAACAATTAATCAGCATCAAATACCATAAAGCGTACTGTTTTATCCACTCGCCTCTTTGCAATATGTTCTTCTGCCTTTTTCATCTTTTTTCTTCTTTCAGAATCTGTATTAGTGTGAGAGAGAGACCTCACAAAATCTAATACTGATCGGTGCGATGCCAAGAACCGCCGTCATTCTTGTTTATCTTTAGAAGTTGACATATGTTAAGAATTGGAGTTCCATTTTAAAAGGTCAACCTTATTAAGAGGAGTAGTTCAATATTTTAATTAATTGGTCTGTGTCAACATTATTTATCGATGTGGGATATATATCCCTTAACACGCCCCCGCAAAATGGCGGCTCATTTGAGCAGACCAAATCCACGTGCTCATTTTAGAGTCTTAACAAGATCGAATCGCTCGTTGAAGCATAATGGATTATGATACCATGTTAAAATTTGAGGTTCCATATTAAAAGGTCAATATTGTTAAGAGGAGTAGCTTAACATCTTTATTAATTGGTCTGTATCAATATTATCTATCTATATGAGATATATATCCCTTAACAACATAAGAACTTAACTAATATGCATTCAATCTCGACTCCAAACAAATCAATGAGCTAGGTGATAATACAAATGCATTACAAATTACTTAGACCGACATACTAATGCATGTTAGGTGAGATTATAAAGTCACGATTCATGTACATACATTAATCAAGAACAATTGACAAGCAAATGATAAAGAAAGAGCAATATGTCACCATCAGTCTCAACTATTACGAAACCCTAAAAACTGGCTCTTGCGATTACTTTCGGTCATTTGAGGCACTTTAGGACATGACCTTTTGTGTACGGATACGTCGTATATACATAAGTATGTGTACATGTAATAGCCTCACATGGACATGCACGTCGATAAGTATTTTATAAGTTTTAAATGATGAAACTGTTAAATGATAAAATCACACATCGAATAAAAATGAAAAACATTGAGTAATTTATAAATGATCGTGCTATTTCTTTTAACAAGATTTACATTTTAAGATGAAACCCTAAATTTTAATATGATATCAAAGTTCATTAAGTCCTAAACAAGCAATTCGATCATAGTAAGACTCAAAAAATGAGCACGCGAATTTCAAGATTGATTTATATAAAACGAGCCATCATCTTGTGAGGGCATGTTAAGGGATAATATTTCACATCGAATAAAGATGAAATTATAGACCAATTTATAAGGATTTGAGTTATTCTTCTTAATAAGGTTGCCATTTTAAAATGGACCACCAAATCTTACCATGATATCAAAATCCATTAAACTTCGACGGAAATTTCAATTCCATTAAGAATAAAAAAATGAGTACATGAATTTCAAAATTAATTTGCTCAAATGAGCCACCATCTTACGGGGTATGTTAAGGAATAAAATCTCACATCTAATAAAAATGAAACATATAGACCAATTTATAAGAGATTATGCTACTCTTCTTAACAAGGTTGATGTTTTCAGAAACAACTTGCATGATCCATATATTCCAATCGATAAATGATGAAACGCTTGAAAGTTTAAGATATTTTCTTTTTTACTATCGAAAGTTCTCCCGAGTAAGGTGAAACCCTTGTTTTTTTTTTCTCTCTGTATTCCATGTTGAACTTTTTTACTTTCATCATTTGTCAATATCGGTTGTTATACAAATTATTCATAATACTTTTCTAGCTTAAAAAAATTAACTCCGTACGTAGATTTCTCAGGTTAAGAACTCGCTTTCGAGCTATTGGTTTTATCTTTAAGCATTGTGGCCAAATTTGTAACCTGTGTGCTTAATTGAGTTTTAGAGCATTGATCGACTCTTGAACTGTGATAAAATGACTAACTTAAACTCCTATATGGCGATTTATGTTTTCATATTTAACTTGGGATTTTAAGCACGTGACTTGTGAACATAAATAAATGGTTGCAAAAACTCTATCCCCCTTGTTTTTTGGCTTCCCCTTTCCCATTGGAGAATTAGATGCGAATATTGGTCCCAAATGGATAAATCCAACTTCATTCTCCAACTCAACTTTATGAAAAATGAAAAGGAGAACCCAATACTTACCAAAGACATGACACACGAAACTCATTGTTATCATCAAACAAAGAGAATGCCGTACGAAAGACACGTTTATATATCCGTATGCAGAGATTCGTTATCGTAAACTTTCACTCTCAATGTAATAATCGAACATAAAAAAAATGGAAAAGAAATCTTAATTCCTCTAAAATATTATCTATTGTACCTTAATATTCCAGAACCATCCCCATTTTCTTGTATAAATACAGTCTCCATTTTCCTCACACCAAAACCCTCAAGTCAACTTACTAGCGATAACACTCCTACATTCTCTATCGACTGAAAACTTAGGTTTTTCGTCACTGTTGCCGTATTCCTAGCCATTTCACGTCCCAAAACCTGAAATTTTTAGCTTATTCGGTTGATTTTCTAGCAATGGAGAGAGTGAACAAAATGGTGGCACAAAAACCATTGGTGATCTTCAGCAAGAGTTCATGCTGCATGAGCCACACGATCAAATCACTCATCTGTGATTTTGGTGTTAATCCTGTAGTGTATGAGCTCGATGAAATCGCAAGAGCTGGAGACATTGAGCAGGCTCTGTTAAGACTCGGTTGCAACCCGTCTGTCCCAGCGGTGTTCATTGGCGGCGAATTTGTCGGCGGAGCTAACGAGATCATGAGTCTCCACCTCCAACAATCCTTAAAGCCAATGCTTAAAAGGGCTGGTGCCTTATGGGTTTAATTAAAAACCCTACTTCTTATATAACTGTGAATAATGCATTTTTGTTGCATTATTAATAGTAGAAGTACCGTGTGTCTCTGTGTGCTGTAGTTTTGCTGACAATGCTACTGCTAAATAATATGTTCTTCAGCTTTTTTTAGTGAAGCAGATTATACTGTTGACTAATAAAATAAAACTCGTGTTTTGAATAAATTATTAATTGTTCGATCATATGTTATTTTTATTGTTTCAATTCACCCCATTTTCGAGAATGAGCTTTGTGAAAAAGTGATTTTTAAAGAATATATGCAGGAAAAAGTTTTTGATTTACGTGCAAATTATTTTATTATACGAATGATTGATTGAAAGCGAGTTTGAAAAAAAAATGAATTTTAAAGATGTGATATAAAGTGTTGCTATGTCGTTTAAAGATGTGATAATGTTACGCAAGATATACTTTACATAAACCTAATTTTCAAAATTATTTAACCTTATATTTGTAAATTAACGATGTTTTCATAGACATTAAATTAATTTGAAAGTTTATCTTGATCCATAGCAAGTTAATAAAATTGACGATGAAGAAACTGTATATTTCTCTTTCGTGGCCTCTTTCATTTGAGTAGTAAGTTGAAGGATAGAAATATTTTCATATTAATAGATGGAGAGACGCAATTTCTCATAAGCTTTGAAACTAATGATTTTCCATCAAATTCGATAGTTAAGAAAATTTCTCCTCAAAATTGACCAGTATAACCTGATATTTTCTTAATAAAACTTACCTTATTTGCTTGGCAATAAACTCTCTCACAAACATGTCGTCTTCATCAATTTCGAATCTTCTGTTTCATGTTGTTGTTGGTCTCTTGATTCTCTTCGTTCTCTAACCCAAATCAAAATCAAGAAAAACAAGTAGATCGGTTGAAAAAAAAGAAAAAGAAATATATTTAAAAAAAACTAAAAATAATTTAAACCAATACTAAATAAAAATAGTCACCTATGGTTAGCCAAAATCTTCTTGTTTTCTATATCGTAAGGGTATGATGTCAATCAAACAAGTACTAAGACATAGAGAATCCAGAATATTGTCGTTCCCACGAGAACTATGTATTTAATGATTAATCTAATTATTCATATATCCTATTTGAATAAAATAAACATTGATGGCAAGGTTTTGATTAAAACTAATATTAAATAGGAAAGTAAAAATAATTATACGAACGTGTTTTCTTCGAATTGAGGATAAACTATTTGATATTATGTTTAAAGCTAACAATTTTAGCGTAGTTATCACATTTAATCTCTCTTCAAGTTCTTATTAGTCGAATCAACTCATTATATCCTTAAACTAAATGCATCAAATCACCTAAGAATACAATTAAAGATCACAACAATAATAAAAGCATATCTCTATTTTTTACCAAATTGTCGAATTTTACCACGTGGTCTTATAAATTTATAACTTACATTTTGATATGTTACAATTCACCAAGTAATTCACGCATCAAGAAAAGAAGTAAAAACAATACATAAAATAATTAATTTTACAAATCTTGAGAATTGAAATTAAAAGTTCAAATCGAGGTTAAATCATTCATCCCAACCAATGATTTAGTCACATATCATAGTAGAATAAAAACGCAAAAGGGGTTTGGAGTACATCCCCGGATTTAAAAGAAAATCGAGAAAAAGATGAACTTGTACGAAGAATTGACCTTCTCCAAGTTCTTGAAACACTAGCTTTTCTCCTCTATTATCTTGTATATTCCTCCTTTTCCCCCATCGTTTGTCCCATTTTACTTGACCCAATTTAGATCTTTATATAGTGCTCGAACTCCTTGAACCGTGTGCTCGAAAAGGCCAAAATACCTACAAAAATTAAGCAAAATAGAAAAATATAAATACAGGTTTGCCAGGATTGGACAACGGTTTGCTTACCACGGTCGGACCGCAACAAACGACCTTTGAAGCAAACCGCCGTCGCCCCTACGACTTTTATCTTTTTATATTTTGGCCCTTACTTTAAGTTTTTGTATGATTTTGGTCCTAATCATTTGATCCCGTAATTCTCGCAAGTGGTCACTTTGGTTCCCAAACCTCCATAGTTATCCACAATTGGTCCTTCTCAAGTTTCATAAGTACGCAAATCACTCTCCAGACTGTTCATAAGTCAAATTTCACTCCCAAAACTTGTGATTTTCCTCTTTTAATGCTTTCTCTCAATATTGTGCAATTTGATTAATTTTTAATTGCTTCAAGCCAACTCAAATTAAATTCAGAATCTTCCTTTTTGCTCCAAGTATCTCAAAATTCGGTTTTACACGCGATGAAAATATTTTCACTAAACTCAGAATCATCCAAATGTCCAATTATAAAGGAGCACAGTTAAGACTTGCGAGGTAAGCTAGAGCAGATTTTCAAACAAAAAAAAAAAAAACCGACAAGTTGGAGAATGTTAACCGAACAGGGGCTAAAGGAATTCAACATTGGACCGAAAAGATGGAGACCATCTGCACTCTCTTACGGAAAAGCTATCAGGATAACATAAATTCTTCAACTATAAATGAGTAAAATCTTCTTCTTGATAAAAAATAATACATATGCTTAATATCGAGATGATCAACCTTGTCTTTTCTGATCCTGACAAAAGGAGGTGAATTTTCCAATAACTATGTTTGATCTGCCTTCATTCCCTCTTTCACGTTTGCTTCAAAATTTGGACGTTTAATCTAATATAGGATAAGTTGATTACCTAAGAACATATGTGTGCTACACTAGCTTTTATGTACAAAAATCATTTCATCGTAGATTTCCTTTGGGAGTACACACTTTTCTGAAAAATTGTAATTCACTTGCAGTACTTGCCACCATTATTTGTTCAAAAGGTGCGAAAATCGATTGGTCAACACACTCTTTTGTAGGATTCAACGGGGAGGCAGTGGCCTGTAAAAATATCCAATATTGATGGTTTCCTGGCATTCGAGAAGGGATGGCATGAATTTGCAATCGACCATTGTCTAGAGTTTGGGCATCTTTTGATATTCGAATATATGGAAGAAGTGCACGGGAAATAGTGAATTTTAATAGTCGAAGAGTTATAGAAAGGAAAAGATCTAGGCAAGGTCAAGAAAAGATGTTGCTGAAGGATCCATTTGGTATGTATTTCTTTGTTACTTTAATTTTATTTACACATCTATGGCATGTTATAGGTGGATTAGATAGCATTGAACAATACTAAGAAGAAAAAGAAGTTAAGGTGCATTTGATTCGGTCCAAATTCCATGGAAAATGGAAAAAATTTTCCAGTTTTCCACTTTTCATGTGTTTGATGTGTCTTTTTTTCTAGGGAATCCATTTTCCACCTATTTTTTATCCACAATTGGTCCTTCTCAAGTTTCATAAGTACGCAAATCACTCTCCAGACTGTTCATAAGTCAAATTTCACTCCCAAAACTTGTGATTTTCCTCTTTTAATGCTTTCTATCAATAGTGTGCAATTTGATTAATTTTTAATTGCTTCAAGCCAACTCAAATTAAACTCAGAATCTTCCTTTTTGCTCCAAGTATCTCAAAATTCGGTTTTACACGCGATGAAAATATTTTCACTAAACTCAGAATCATCCAAATGTCCAATTATAAAGGAGCACAGTTAAAGACTTGCGAGGTAAGCTAGAGCAGATTTTCAAAAAAAAAAAAAAAAAACAAAAACAAAAACAAAAACCGACAAGTTGGAGAATGTTAACCGAACAGGGGCTAAAGGAATTCAACATTGGACCGAAAAGATGGAGACCATCTGCACTCTCTTACGGAAAAGGAGGTCGCCCCATGCGAGAATTTTCCAATAACTATGTTTGATCTGCCTTCATTCCCTCTTTCACGTTTGCTTCAAAATTTGGACTTTTAATCTAATGTAGGATAAGTTGATTACCTAAGAACATATGTGTGGTACACTAGCTTTTATGTACAGAAATCATTTCATCGTAGATTCCTTTTGGGAGTATACACTTTTCTGAAAAATTGTAATTCACTTGCAGTACTTGCCACCATTATTTGTTCAAAAGGTGCGAAAATCGATTGGTCAACACACTCTTTGGGAGGATTCAACGGGGAGGCAATGGCCTGTAAAAATATCCAATATTGATGGTTTCCTGGCATTCGAGAAGGGATGGCATGAATTTGCGATCGACCATGGTCTAGAGTTTGGGCATCTTTTGATATTCGAATATATGGAAGAAGTGCACGGGAAATAGTGAATTTTAATAGTCGAAGAGTTATAGAAAGGAAAAGATCTAGGCAAGATCAAGAAAAGATGTTGCTGAAGGATCCATTTGGTATGTATTTCTTTGTTACTTAAATTTTATTTACACATCTATGGCATGTTATATGTGGATTAGATAGCATTGAACAATACTAAGAAGAAAAAGAAGTTACATCTAGTATTAGCATGCACCTAGTTACTAAGAATTTGACTTTCTGTGTCATTTCATCTACTGTCTTGTGTCTTGTTTGACTCCATTTATCCATTCCGGACTTTTTCCAAACGAAACAGGTGGGCGAAAGGTAGGTTGGTTTGCTCTTTCTTCATCATTTTGAGCCATAGTGAATCATTTATTCTGATCTTTGTGTATAGGCATGTCTATGCATACGTTTTGTAGCAAATTCTCAACACAGAGTTGAGCTTGTAAGTTGAGCACTTGAGCATGGAATTTATTGACACGATACAGGAAACGAGCCAAACATGGCAATGAAATCTGCACAGGTACCTTTACAAGCCATGAAAGATATGTCATCTGGTTTGGACTCAGATGTTGCAGCCGCTTTCCTTTTAGTGGAAGTGAAATTCCTATAGTACCTGGTATGTTACTGCTTGTTAAACTAACGTTCTTTTCTTTCATAAAAACAGAAAAATCAACTTTCTGTTTCCCCGTATCTCAAAATTGAATAGTACTTTGTATCTTTGAATAATACTTTTTTGTTGATACTGCATGGTTAGAGATGGTCGACTGGTACAAAAAGACAAC